CTCTTCACAATCCATTGTTTACAGTGCATTCAAATTCTTCTCATTCTTTAGCTTCTTTGAGAGCCAATTTGTGAAGTCATTGAGTTGTTCTTGAGCGTATAAAGTTTACTCATATTCACTCTATAAGAGAGTCCTGTTCTTGAGTATTTGTTAGTGTTCTTAGACACTTGGAGAGAAGAGTCTTCTCTCATTGTTCAAAGGAAGGGCTGTTTCCTTTGAGGATAGCGTTGAGGTCCGTGTGACTCGAACTCTCAAGTTGTAAGGTTTCGTTGAGCACCGTTAAGCTTAACAAGGTAGTAGCGCAGCTCGAGAGAGTCTCTCGGGAGACTGGATTAGCCACACGTTGTGGTGAACCAGTATAAATCTTGGTGTGCCTTCTTCTCTCTTTTATTTCCGCTTTATATTCCTTTAAAATTTTAATTCCTGCGATTTTATTGATCAAACGCTATTCATCCCCCCCCCTCTAGCGTTGGTTCTTTATTCTAACAAAATATATATGATAAATATATTTAACAGAGAGAGTGGAAGCATCTACGGAGGAATATTCTCTTATTCCTCCATTTTATGAAACAGGCCCGGTTTGACTGTTCTTCGTAAATAATTGGGAAATTTTTTTCTTTCAATAATTTCATTAAAGTCTCCAAAATATTAAAAAAATGTCACTAAAGTTCCTACTTTTTTTTGAATTTCTTTAAAAAAATTACTTAGTTTTTTTTTCCTTAAAGTGAAGAGTGTGGTGAAATTTTTTTAGATGAGAGAGAACTTTTCAAATCACATATTAACTTATACAAAAATAAATATTTTCTTACTCTTACCAAAAGCAGCATGATTTTTTTCGCTCAAAATTTCAGGCATAAATGGGTCGTGTTATTTACTCGCCTGGCTGATTGGTCATTTATTAAGCAGTTATCTCAAGTGTCCACCGGTGAATCAGAGTAGTTACTTCCATTGTTCAAGACACTGTGTAGAGCGGGGCCATCAAATCCCAACCGTGACGGAGAGCTGTACATCACGATTTAAGGTTCCAAATCTTCTTCTTTTCAATTATACGCCATCGCCTCATACATTTCTTATTTACTAGTACTTTAACATGTGCCATGCACCTACTGGATGAGACAACTTTTTTCAATTATACAATGTGGATTATTAAAAAAGAAATATTTTTAAATAAAATTAAACAAGTATGAAAATACCAAAATAGGAGTTCTAATTCTTTTAAGACCAGAATAGGAGTATAATTAATGGCAGTGTGGTGTAAAAGTTCGTGTTGGCAGTGTGACGGAAGAGTGACGACAGTGTAATATGTCAGTGTGACCAATCAACTGTTGGTAATGCGCAATGTCACTTAGGTGGTTGGTGGCTACAGATGACAGTGTGGCGGTGGTAGTGTGCCATTTACAATGTGACAATAATATAGTGAGTCTGACATTGTAAAAATGGCAGTGTAAACTTCTACTTTAGTCTTAAAAGACTTATAAATTTTGTTTTGGTATTTTTATAACGTTTTACTTCTATTGAGAGAGTTCTTGCATATAAAAAAGACTTGACTTTTTTTATTGGGAATATCATTTAAAAGTCAAATATAAATGATCTAGGTTTACAGAATTTCTACAAACTTAAAATTCTTCTTCTCGTATCAATCCAAAAAAATATCAATACACAAAATATAAGTTATCCTATATATGATCCCCCCCCCCACATTGGTTTAATAAAATCTAAATTACCGATCTTATGATTGCACGATCAAAAGAACATGATTCTCCTCCCCTACATTAATTTAGATTAGCGAAAAAATGATCCCCACCACATTGATTACAAAATTGTTCTTCTCTCCCTCATTTAAAAAAACAAATTTTGTATTATCAACAATATGATTCTATAACTAAAGCTATTAGTTTAAAAAAATTAAAATACGACTCTTTTCCCCGTATTAATTTAATAAATATTAATACAAAAATAATTAGTGCTATGATGATTTTGAAGGGAAAGGGAGAAAGACAAACTCAGAGTAAATGAGTAAAATATAGGGAAAAAACTAAAACAAAACCTTCGTGTTTGTAACGATACGAAAACCGGCTTGGTAGTTAGCCTTTATTGTAATAAAAATGAATATAATAATCATTTACTAAGAATTAGGGACTATTTGTAAAGTTGAGCGTTTTATCTAAAAATTAGGTTTTTGGGTAAATTTGATGAAATGGTGACCAACGATATATAATTTGTTAAGTTGGAACTTTCGTGTGAAGCGTGATGAGTAAATAGACATTAGAGTTCAATAAATAAATATAAAGATTCTTATAATAAATATATATATATATATACATATATATATATATATATATATATACATATATATATATATATATATACACACACGCATTTGCACGCGCGTTGCGCGAGATTTAGTGCCCGATCATTATTTTCCCGAAGAATGGTTATGTTATTTTTTGAGTACTCCCTCCGTCTCAGAGTATGTGTCCACTTTCATTTTTACACACCATCCAATGCACTTCTTTAATCTATTTTATCTTGTAATTTGTATATTAAAAAATTATAGAAATTATATATTAATAATCTATATGTTAAGACAAATAAAACAAGAACACACATAACTATATTTAGACTTACACATTAAGAGAATTTGATGAGTCAAAGTGCTTAAATGAAAAATTCTAAAAGTCAAAACTAGACAAAAACTGGGGGACAGAGGGAGTATTTGATAGAATATTCTGTAATAATATTGTTGTTGTTGTAATAATATTGTGTACGTAGCATTCTAGGGTGTAATGTAATTTATTAAGTAATGTCTTAATACAAAGTAGACATGCATAATATACATAGAACGTAGTGGGGCATACCCTTTTAACACAAAGTTCAGTCATGGTGAACAAAACAAACAATGAAAGGAAGTGTGTAAGAAGCACGCTAAAAGTTTAAAAAGAGATAAGTGAAAAGGAAGAATCCAAGTCGTATCCTTTTTCCGCACAGAAGTACACTGAAAGAGTGTAATTGATTTTGAAATATAGGAACTTTGCATTAAGCGAAAAGCATGAGTTACAAAAGTGTGCCTTAAAGGAAGATTCATAAGTGCCTTCGGAAGACTGTTTATGGCTATGGAGCTTCAAGGATGACATTCGAGTGATGGTTGGAGTGAGATGCAGCCTTCGATTCCCAATCCTGATTGTGAAAATTCAAATTTCAAACGATAATAAACTGACATTTCATTTAATTAGAGTTAATGTGAATATTATTGGTGTAAATAGGCATTTATTGGTATCCTTTAAATTTTGTTTACTCATTAATGTTATTTGAATTATTTTGAATATGGCAGTTACTAATACAAAATGAATGGCACATTTCCAGGTTATTCTACTTTTTTTTATGCTGGTGATTATGTTGGAGTTCAACGTACCTGAACATGTCACCGTCTCCTGCTTTTTTGTATTATAACGTCTTGCATGGGCCTGCGGCGTAAAAATCATTAACAAATAATATGTCTAGTATTTTAATGTGGTAAAAGCTTGGTACAAAAACAGGGTTTGGCTTCGAAACATATTATATTCGGCTGAGAATAGGTCTAATCAAGAAGACAGGTTTAAGTCATTATTATCCCAAGAATCTTTGCTTCAACAAAAACATCTGGCCTCTGCACAATAAATATGAGTGCGAGTATACTTATCATTTACTACGCACAGCGTGAGAAATGTTTTGATATTAATTTCATGAGTAAAAGAAGAAAGATAGTCCAACTTGAGGGTCATACAAAAAACTTTAGAGCTATCTTTAGTAGTGCATATCTTTTGGACTGGCAGCGGCTGTACAGCGTGAATGCATGCACTTGAAGTTGACATATATTTGTAGCGTTGTTCCGTTCAAAGCACAAATTTTAGTGGCCGATTAAAATTTAGCAATGTGTTTGTTGGGCAATTTTTCTGTCTAGTTTTGCTTGTGTTTATAAGTCAGCATAATGCTTGTTTAAGTGAATGGATGACATGAAGCAATGGTTATAGTTTGAATATACGAACATACAGTGCAATTCAAATTCTCACATGGTATATATATATATATATATATATATATATATATATATATATAGACACACACACACACACATTTGAATAATGAGTTGTTTATAATTTTATTTAATGTTATTTGTTAAATTTATCTCAGTGAAACGAGAAAGGAAAAAGACGTAGTAACCATATCGCAATGAGAAGTTATACCCTGTGCAGTTAGTAATTTTTATATTGTCAGTGAGAAGATAGTAAGGTAAATATGAAGCAAAAATAGTGCACACCTATTTCTTTTGGTCATCAGAAAAAGACATAGCATTTGAAACATGCCCAGCCTTCAGAAGATATTCCTCCTGTATTGACATTCAGCATACATCAGTGAAGTGTAAAATAAAGTATTATCCAGAACAAACAATGGTTTACGGCTTATTACATGTGTAGCACTATCTTTAGAACAGAAAACCTAAAAAAGTGAACCTCATAAACTGCAGCAAGTCCGTTTTTGCTCTTTTTATCATCCTGCATCAAATTAAAAGAAAAAGGTCATGGATGTTACCATCACTTTAGTCACTAAAGAATCCTGAGGAGTGGGAAAGACACATTGTTGAATAACAATAGCAACAAATCCTAATCCCACTACGTCGGGTCATCTACACGCATTGTTGCATAAACGACATTAAAAACTCAAAAAGGTATCAGTCATGAGATTAATTCACTACCAGTTCATTCATTTGTCTTGGCGTTCGGGGTGGCAAAGTTGAAGGCTTCTGAACGTCATCGAATTCTTCCTGCAACTACCCATAGTATAAATGCTGCTATTGCCTTGCCAACCCACTCCCTACATTTCATTTCCAAATTGCTAATTTTACGTACAGCTTATAGTTATACTCTAGAAGTAAATTAGACCTGTGCAAATAAGGGCCGGCCCGTCCGGCCCGCCCAGCCCGCCCTTTAAAAAAAGATGGATATGGGCATGCTTTAATACCCATATGGGCGGGTCGGCCTAGCCCAAATTGTATCTTGGCGGATATGGAACCTACATTTAGCCCGTCCGGGCTAGCAGGATGAAGCCTTATTATTCCTAATATTATTCTGGCATGCATTTCCCGTGATTCTACCTGGGATTGGACCTCGAAATTCATCAAGAACTTGTGAAGCAACATAATTTCTTTCACAAGTGCAAGCCAGTGTTCACGTCTTGTGGAGCTTGTTATTTCTGGAAATTCTAGGACAACACCTTCTTGCCTGCATGCAAGTTATCCAAATACATGGGCATGCACTCATATTCCAAACACCCAATCCATATATGCATATTTCATTACGACATTACTGACTTGAACTTGATTTCATGATTTTGAATGATTATATACATTAGATCTCTAATGTCTCATCAAAACTTTTAGGTCATGCCCTTTATCAATTTTCATTAAATTGCAGAGAAAAAACCAGGACTTCAATTGCAGTAGTACGCGTACATTTGCTTGAAAAAGGACGTACTTACAGTTGGGAAGATTGGTACACTATGGCTTTGTCAAAGAGAGGAGCACCCCATGGACCAGTCGCGACTGGGTTTACACTCTGGTCATTGTCCTTGGAGAGGTCAAGCCTAAGAGCATCTTCGTATGAAATGATTCCAGAAGCCTCAAAGTAGAGAGCATAGTTTGTCAATGTCAACCTACCTAGAAAATGTGTGCGTGGTCTTGTGTAACCTTCTTGAAAATGATTGTCCTTACAATGGAAATNGCAGAGAAAAAACCAGGACTTCAATTGCAGTAGTACGCGTACATTTGCTTGAAAAAGGACGTACTTACAGTTGGGAAGATTGGTACACTATGGCTTTGTCAAAGAGAGGAGCACCCCATGGACCAGTCGCGACTGGGTTTACACTCTGGTCATTGTCCTTGGAGAGGTCAAGCCTAAGAGCATCTTCGTATGAAATGATTCCAGAAGCCTCAAAGTAGAGAGCATAGTTTGTCAATGTCAACCTACCTAGAAAATGTGTGCGTGGTCTTGTGTAACCTTCTTGAAAATGATTGTCCTTACAATGGAAATGAGAGTAAAATTGCATCAATAATAGAGAAGATCAAAGGCGGGAGGCATACCAGGCCAACTTGTTCCTCCAATATGGCGCACAACTCTATGCGATGTCGCGGTTCCTTCCACATGCAGTATAAACTCATTATCCGCGAATTATATGCCGGTTGGTTTGGCTTGCTTCTGCAAATGCCTTAAGCATCTTAAGGAAACACAAGAGAAATATGATGTAGTTATTGTACACAAAAAACAACACTTTCATTTTATTTGGAGTCAAATAAGCAGTACAGTTTTCAAAATAGTAATTACTTGTCAATCTGTTTCAAGAACACATTGAAGGCAGGATAGTGGAGTGTACTGCCAGAAGAAGCTGTAAGAGTCTCGAAAGTAAAGCATGCGTTCACGACATTCCGCTGCCACCAGTATAAGCGTTGCTAGCCACACAAATGCATTTTCACCAATACTTGGCTCCTCATCAACCTGTCAATACATTTTATAAAATAACAACCTAAAAAAAAAATCAAACAACATATAATAGGAGTACCATTTATCACACCAAGTTTAATCTTGTTATATAATTGTTGGTTCCAAAATAAACTTCTCACTTCCTTATTTGGGCCAACCAAAAAAAACTTCCCATGTCTTAAAAAGGAAAATATTGTCTTCGTCTTATATCATGCACTACTGCTTTTAAATTTGAGTCACATGGACCACCACATAGCAGAGCATACCCCACCCTTGTCATTAAAAAAATATCTTAAACTTTGTGCCATATTCAAATGGGAACCTTAATATAGGACAGAGAGAGTAAAAAGATGAATATAAGACTCAAATTTCTTGACAAATTAAGTATAAAAGCACAATTTTGTAAAGGAAAAAAATATAAAACAAAGGTGAATATCAAATATCTCTAAAGAACAAATCCTACATACAATGTTAAGAGATTACTGACATTATAGCATAAAATACACAAAATTTGCAAGGGCAATCACCTCAACAATCCGTTTGCGGATCAATTCTTCTAGGGACAAAGTAACTTCCTCTGTAATCACCGGTGCCAGTCTCATATTGTGCTCAAAATCTAAATCAACCTCAAAGGCAGTATTTTTTTGGCCTTATGGAAGCAGTTACCTGACATTTAGGGCTAAAGTATTGAGTACAATTTCAGATGAATATAAGCATATTGAGACTTAAGAAAACCACAAACAATATTTAACCTCTCCTTGAATAGTCCTTGGTTTTGGTTCTATGTTTTCTTTCTCCATTTCCTCTATCATAGAACGCAATTTCCTCAAACCAATACACACAGGAATTTCATTGTGTCAGGTATAGTAAAAATGTAAAATATATAGATAATACTCCATAGTACACACTATGACTATGTGATTGCTAGCCCAATTCCCTATTTCCCTAAAGAAAAGAGGTTTCTAGACATTGACTTGTCTCAAAGTGGAAAGTCTTGGTCTAAGTCTCATTTTTAGTCTATGGAATATGAAACAGGCTGCTAGACCCAATGCCTTCTGTCGTAGAAGTTAGTAAAACATTTTTTCAAAAATAGCTTTCATCAAAAAAAGAAGGGGAGATGAGGATCGATATCTAGTAAATGGCCATTTCAAAGGGCAGGCACCTAGTTTCTTACCTAATTTCGATTCACAAGAAAGAGATAACACATGTTTCGATTCACAAGAAAGAGAAAACAAACATGTATTACCATGTAGGACCTTCTGAGAGGGAAGTGAAGGATCTTCTTCTGATTGGAAGAGTTGATTGTAGAATGAGAATGGTGGAGAGAAACTCAGATTGTATGAATAAGTGGATCCCTGTTGCTTCCTCATCCCCAAAACGAAACCTTGTGACTGTCCCAGAGTTCCGACCACACCACTGTAGCTTCACTTCTAAAATTGATAGAAGGATTAAATGGTGAGGATAATATTGACTGAAAAAAGGTAAAACAACCACATCATAACGTATAAAAACAATGGATGCACAAAGTGCATATTTATAATGGGTACACAACCCTACTTCATATTTATATAATATAGAAAGATATTTTCTGAAACTGATCCTTATCAAAACTCAGAGCATAAAAAAGAAATTTTAAAAGTTTAGATTATACATGTTGCGTGGAATAATGTCCAAGGCTCATTGGGGTAGTCCAGAAAGTCGCCAACTATGGAAGAACTTGATTAAGAAGTCACCATATTCCGATCTGAAATCAAGTATTTCTCACCAAGTCTAGTTCCAACAACATCTATTGGCACGCCTGGGGCATAATGTTTTAACTCAGGTATGCACTGGAACAAGATGAAAACAGCAGCTCCAGGATTACTCAGCGGTCTTAATCTATTTTAATCTTCGTGTCCTGTTTGAGTATAACAAGCTTAGACCTATACTAATGACTAAAACTCACTCCTTAAAGTAAACATATTGTTACTTTCCCCCACAGGCTACACCTCAAAATTTCAAGTCTAAAATAAGTTATCAAATATAATAAGAAAATACTTTTCAACTGATCAGTAATAAAAACAAATAAGCTTCAATCACCAACAAAGATCAGCAAATAATCCTTAATTAATGAACAAACAACACCAAGCCATCGCCAAATGGGCATCAATCACCAAGCCATAGCAGATTCAGCAAATAATAAAAGCAATATCGGGCTAAACAGTAAACCATCACAAAATAGCCAAATGACCAGCAATATGAGTAAAGCAACCACCCCAAGCCATCAACCATTCCCACAATCAGCAAAAGTGAAAAATCTGCCAAGGCAGCGGTATCAAAATCCCAGGAAAAGCTTTGGGCTGTAATCGTGAATTAGATCCCTCACATTATATAAATGTAGAGTATAACAGAAGGTATCATTTAACTCTCTCCCAACACCTCATGAAATGGTTTATGACTGCTAACAATACAAAGTTTGAAGGAAATCTTTAAGGAATTGTGTTGGGAATCATAGCTTGTGTTGATAGAAAACCCCAAAACCC